ACCAATTAAATAGGTAATGATTAGTTTAGTCTCTTGAGTCTTGACACCATTTTAGGGTTATACGGGTTCCTGCTAGTACAGCTAAAACCAACCTCCTCGAGGGAATGGATCTCATATTCACTCAACCAAAGCTTTTAAAAGAGATTGCTAAATTGTTAGCTGATATAGATGCACTTCGTTTCCCGAGAGACTTAGCTTAAATTATAGTATATGTTTCTTTACGGTTTTTGTATCTTATTTCTATGTTATGATTACATTCTTGTATTGTCAAGCCAGGAGTGTTAGGGCTTCTCTTGACCAATTAACGTTTAATCCGTTTAATCCGTTTAATCCGTTTAATCCGTTTAATCCGTTTGATCCGATAACGTACGAAACCCTTAAGATACTCCTACATATACTGATCGGTGTCCGAGAGACATGAATTACTTCATGGTGGCTACAGACCTTCCCGTTACGGATGTAGTGGTCGAGATGAGTCTGTTCAGCCCTTTTCTTCTTCAGGTCAGTTACCAGGTTCTTCCTTGCTGCACGCTCTTCACTGGATCTATCAGGACAAATCCATACATCTTTGTGTGCCTCAGCCAGCCTCAGTCTCCCTGTTTTCGTCAGAATCTGATGAACTGCTGTTGAGCTTAGGACGGTGATCTTGACTGGTCCGATAGCCGTACCTGGCCTCTTCCAGCCGACTCTTGTCGCTTCAAAATGAGGTTTCTCCCCGATCTCCTCCAGTACTGCGGTTACCAGAGCTGGAAGCTGTTCTTCATCCTCTTCTTTCAGCCCAAACACTATCGGATTCTCGCTCCTGTCCTCCTCTGCAGCCACACTCATACTTATTATCTTTAAGATAATTAAACTGTGTGAATAATTAAACTATTGTGAATAAAGACAAGGTCTATCTAGACACCAGGAACTCTCGTCGTTTGTATCATAACAATCGGGATCATTATCACAAACATGTTCCGGATTAATGCAGTTGAGTTGGTCCTCGCACATTATATGCCCTGAATCGCAAAAATCTTCAACTTCTTCCACGAATTTATTTTTGTCGAGGAAAATATAGTCAACCTTCAGTGTCACCGTACCCTTATCAGCTAAGTGTGAAGGTCTGTTTATCCAGAACTCAATTTCAAACGATTTTCCAGCAGTCGAGTTAAAGAAAACAGTTTCCCAGTTACTGTTTAGAACAAAACTAGATGGTGTATTGAGTTCGCCATCCTCTGAGATTACTGGAGCATCTTCACTGGATCATCTCAGGTATATCCATTCCAATTAGATTCACGTCCAATACGCACATTTGGAACCACACCGGGAACCACTACTGTGGCCATGTTATATTTGTCATGTATCAATATGGCACCAATACATAGTATAGGGGTGTAAACAAAGATGGTACTACTTCAAGTCCGAATTTCGTTCAGAACAAACTTAGATACAATGTTTTGGGCAGCCTCACAAGCCTTCTGATGATATTTGGTGATGCAGGTAACGTTACCTCCTTTATCTACTTCATTAGAAAAGGGATGAAATCCACTGGTATGAAATATTCTATCATATCAGGAGTTGATATCGGCTTATCGGTATGTGTACTGTGTAGTTCCAGTGATAACATCTCTGATAACGGGTAGAACTCCAATGATGTTCAATAGCAATGTGTTCTGCAAATCCTGGTCCATCTTGTTTTACCTCTTGATCAAAGCTTCAATATTCATGGTTATGGTACTGAACATCTTCAGGACAATCGCAATAGTGTATCCTTATTATGACATCGGTAAGCATAACAAGAAAATAATACCTGGGGTATCGATATACCTGGTAATACTTTCAGTGATTGATGTGCTGTACCTCCATACTGGGAAAATTAAGATTATAGGTTTCGAAAAGCCGTCTCATTTTGTGAAATACAACCGATTCTGAACGCAACATCAGGGAAGATCTATGCAAACGTTCATTCCGGTTTTCAACAAGTCTAGGCTCTCATTCCATCCCTGATCGTTTTTATCTGCTTTGTTGTGACGCCTGTTCCTTGCTGCGATCAAGTTCGGTGACCACTGCTGCAGGTGACGAAAGGGCAAGAGAGTCTCGCAGAATTACCGCTACCCTCACTATATTCACCACTGTCTTCCTCGTTTGCAACCTCCCAAGGTTAGTGGTAGAGGTTATGTACCTAGCGACAGGATTCAATGGAAACAGTTTTAAAGAGAAGATCGTCGAGAATACAAAGCTGTGGCAGAACTATGGACATTTCCTGACCACCCTGATCCTGATACCTTCGATTTCAGCATTGAACCCCTGTTTATATTTTGTAAGAATGCCTCAACTGCGTATCTGATTGTTGAGTGTAATAAGATTGAGACAGTAAAGCACTAGAACAGTACGTGAAGCCTGGAGTAAATGAACAAGGCAAGGATTCGAATATTGAACTTAATGGTTGTCGTAAATGGTTGCTCTACAACAAGGAATATATTGCCTAATCTTTCGAATCATACGTTCAAAATAGTAATATCTTTTTGCGGTTCTTTTGCGATAGTCAAAACGCGACAACTAGCGCTGGATGGCGACAACTAGCGCTATCCAGCGCTAGTTGTCGCCATCCAGCGCTAGTTGTCGCTATCCAGCGCTGGATAACGCTGGCCAGCGCAAAATATATATGTTCGATAATTGTCGCTATCCAGCGCTAGTTGTCGCCATCCAGCGCTAGTTGTCGCCATCCAGCGCTAGTTGTCGCTATCCAGCGCTAGTTGTCGCTGGCTATGCGACACTGTCGCACGCGATAGTTTGCGATGGCCAGCGCAACTGGCCATCGCAGAAAACAGTTCGATAACTAGCGCTGGATGGCGACAACTAGCGCTGGATAGCGACAACTAGCGCTGGCCAGCGCTGGCCAGCGCTGGCCAGCGCTAAGCGATAGCCAGCGCTGGCCATCGATATCCAGCGCAAAATTTGTGCGCTATTACTCGTCAGCTAGCGCTAACCAGCGCTGGCCAGCGCTAACCAGCGCTAACCAGCGCTAACCAGCGCTAGCCAGCGCTAACCAGCGCTAACCAGCGCTAGCCAGCGCTAACCAGCGCTAGCCAGCGCTGGCCAGCGCTAGCTGACGAGTAATATCGCAATTATATTGCGCTGGCCAGCGCTGGCTGACGAGTAATACTAATATCGAGCGTGCTTAATCACTCTACAGTGGATCTTCGAGATTGTTCTAAAAGGGCCCCCGGTGGTTGTGTCCAACTTCAATCGATGTATTTTCGGACGCTAATTCCGAATCAACCCCCATGGGCCCATGACATAGGGTTAAAATGCTCTCCTGACGAGATATTGGCGAAAAACTGTACATGTATCGATCACGTGATATGACCGTATAAGGAAGTTAGTCTAATTTCTCGTTATTGTTAGGGTTTCAGCATATGTTTTTGTTAATGATTGGGTTAGGGTTAGGGTTGGGATCAGATTAGACTTAGAGGGTTGGGGTTTCGAAAAGTCGTTCAGAACCAGCTAGAGTCAGAGAATGGATTAAAAAAGGCACGTGACAGTCAAGTGTAAAGTGATTAATCATCATCCGAGTAATATCGCAAGTATATGATTTTGATACATTGCGCTGGCTAACGCTGGCTTGCGCTGGCTAGCGCTGGATAGCGACAATTAGCGCTGGCTAGCGCTGGATAGCGACAACTAGCGCTGGCTAGCGCTGGCCAGCGCTGGCTAGCGCTGGATAGCGACAACTAGCGCTGGCTAGCGCTGGCCAGCGCTAGCTGACGAGTAATAGCGCAAAAATTTTGCGCTGGATATCGATGGCCAGCGCTGGCCAGCGCTGGCTATCGCTTAGCGCTGGCCAGCGCTGGCCAGCGCTAGTTGTCGCTATCCAGCGCTAGTTGTCGCTATCCAGCGCTAGTTATCGAACTGTTTTCTGCGATGGCCAGTTGCGCTGGCCATCGCAAACTATCGCGTGCGACAGTGTCGCATAGCCAGCGACAACTAGCGCTGGATAGCGACAACTAGCGCTGGATGGCGACAACTAGCGCTGGATGGCGACAACTAGCGCTGGATAGCGACAATTATCGAACATATATATTTTGCGCTGGCCAGCGTTATCCAGCGCTGGATAGCGACAACTAGCGCTGGATGGCGACAACTAGCGCTGGATAGCGCTAGTTGTCGCCATCCAGCGCTAGTTGTCGCGTTTTGACTATCGCAAAAGAACCCTTTTTGCATATGACTGTTAAATGTTGAGAGATTTGCGTTATCTTTTAATAGAATGGACAACAGAAATCTAATTTACATCTCACTAGTTTTGTTTTAAAATTATGTACTCTGATATGGAATCGTGTTTTACCTTTTTTAAATCTCCGGCGTCATTGGAAAATGTTAAAAATAGCTTTAATTTTTAAATCGTTTATATATGTGATCATTTTGAAAGATTTGATATAATGGAAAAGTTAATTTACACTAAATTTACCCTCTATGGCTCTATTATCATCTTATTTCTTTTCTTTATATGCTTTGGTGAAATTGTATTCTCTTATCCATATTTCCCCGCTTTGTTTCAATGTATAAAATAGTTTAAATTTTTCAAAATTAAGCGGCTGTTCTACAGAGAATGCGTACATTCTTACATTGTGAGATGTGTGAAGGCCGATTATCGACATCAAGTCGGAAACCTGAAAGATCCGTTTAACGAAGTAAAAGCCACTACTTAAGTACTTATGGAACGGCTCTGTTCGTTAAACCACAGCTACCAGTGCTATAAAGTACACAATGCTACTGTGTTAGTTGAATACAGTTTAGGTTTTATTTTTTTTAGTTTTGTGTTTCTATGTTTGTCTCAGACCTCAGTGCAATACTTAACGTGAGATTCCACAAAAAATTCATTACGAAATACAAATAACCTTAATTGCTTTACATGAAAGTTCATTAACAATTCTCTCGCTTTGATGCATATTAAATTTAAATATATATAACTGATAACATGGCAGATTCCGATTATTATGACCATTTAAAGGAAAAAAATGGCTGATCTTTACAGTGTGAATACAACGAGCATAGCAAACAGCTTGACCTCAATACAAAACCTGAAGATCCCACCACCACTTTGGTATCTACTGACTCTCTACCTCGGCCTCGTCGTTGTGATGGGTCTCCTCGGGAATCTGGTAGTTTTGTACTGCTCTTTGGTACACGGAGACCTCAGACTAGACTCTGCTTCCCTCATATTCGTTCACAGCATGTCCGTGTCTGATATCTTCAGTGTCTTTTTGTTTTTCCTGCCCATGTTTGCCACTGTTCTGTTCAGAGAATGGGTCCTGGGAGATATTCTTTGTTGGGTGGCTGGGTTTTTCAAGTCTGCTTGTGTTGCCAATGAGCTGCTTACAGTTCTTTCCATGTCGGGTAAATTATATAGTTTAACAAAAATCGTTGAATATCGAATGGAGTCTCATGTTGAAATTAAATGTTTGTTGATTGCCACGTAATTCATGAATACACTTTCAAAATTAAGTTCTTAACAATTATTGCCTCAATTTCAGTGTATCGACTGTGGAAAATATCAAGGAAAAATGGAAGAAATCCAACTAAGATGTACAAAATAATCTACTCTGTGATGTTGATAAACCTGTTTATAGCTCTTGCCATGCCTGGAAGTGTTCTTTTGTGGAGGTCCATTAATGGAGACTCATCAGTAGATGCACAATTCGTGGCCAGCTCCTTATCGTGTATTTCTTCAAATTTTAACTTTCCAGAACAATCTCAAAACTATTTCGTTCGGAAAGTAACAATATACTACGTTATATGTGTAGTTGGCGGGAGTGTAGTCTTAACGACTATTATCAACGTTTCAATAGCGCTTAAAGTGTGCGTCAAAGGAGCAAAAGTAGGTCATGGTGTCCCCCGGCGGACACTGTTTGCTCTGGGGAGTGTGGCGTGGCTCTTCATCGTGTCGTATCTTCCAGTTGTGGTTTACAGTATCTGGAGTACCACACATTTCCAACCTCCTGATATGTTGCACACAATCCTGAACTGTTCTATGGGTCTCAACGTTTGCTGCAACCCAATAATTTATGGAATATCGAACAAGAATTTCAGAGGAAATGTTTCCCGCAGGTTCTCAGTGGCTGTCAATCCAGCTATTCGGAGGAAAGGAACAGTTGCGGTCCCACAGTCTCACAACATGACCACTTCTTAGACTTAAGTCAGTACACGAGTGGGTTTGCTGGGTTAGCAGATCCCTTCTGTGTGAAAGGTTGAGATCTAGCATCTCAGCTTATCGAGGTCTTTTCTTTACGCACGTGATATTTATTTGATTGAGCAAACATTAGTATGATTAACGAATAACGATGGCTTTCATCTTTGTATCAGTGTACGAAATCTTTTTGCCTTTTCTTGAAAATTGACGGTTTAAAACGATATAATTGTAAGTTGTAACAAATCATATGTAATTGTGCTGATTGCATCTGTGATTTAATTTGAAGCTTTTATCAAATGACAACTTTACTATTTCAATGTTTCATATAAAATCATGAAGCAAAGATTAAAGAATTTTGATGCTGCTTCATATTCAATGCTCAAGTGAATTGTTGACCGCAAAAAAGCTAGTCATAGGATGTAGTCACTTATATATTGTGATCGGGGCTTCCAGTAATATAAATATCCCTCGTAAAACACAAGTTTCCTGGACTTTTAATCTGGCCCACACCACCATCCAGAAGTTTCTAATATTTTTTAGGAACGTTTTTCTAATATTTTTAGCACCAATGTTTTAGCGTCAGCTGTGATGATGTGGTCAATATCGAGGGCATTTAAGTTATAATATTTAAATACATTTTTGCCGACAAATGTTAACTAAACATTTGTCGGCTAAACAGTTTAGCACATATATGATTGAAGCTGCTTTGATTTTATCTGCAAATTCGCTCCAAGTATGTATAACTATTGGATGTCAGTGGAAATTTCATGGATTTAACAACATTCCAGTTGAATGTGTAGGTTGGAATAACAGTTTAAACGTATGTACGTGATCATTTGAGTTAGTCCATAATTATAAATTACCTTATCGGACCTTATTTGGACGGACATTACATGAACGGACACAATTATGAACGGACATTAATATGAACGCTCGAAGGCATTCAAAACCATCAAAAATCCGAATTTTGTTGACTTTAAAAAAATTTCAGCAAATGATTTTTAAATCCATTTTTTATACAGTAAGTAAGAAAAGCATCAGTGATTTATGGAAACCTTTTTTAATCAAACTACCCCGGTCCTGCATTTCAGTGTTAACTTTTACAAGCCATTCGGTGTGAAGTGGTTTTATCTTAGACAACTTAAGGTTAACCTTAACATCACGTGGAGCTTTCATAGCACTGTTTCATTACCGCCTCGAGTAATATGAACTATAACAACGTCGGACAATGTCCTTGGCAACACGATTTACCGTTATATATAAAGGCTGGAACAAGTTTGTCATGTTGGCGGGGACTAGTTCATGACTTATTTTGTTGAATCATGAATGCCATAATTTCGTTGACTTTTTTCCGCCAAGTGACCCTTGAAAACATCATATACTAGTAGTAGTAGTAGTAGAGTTTTTTGTGCCTCCAGCAGACCAAGGAGAACCTTTCCGTCGTTAACTTATGGCACAATAAAGTTCTCAAAGTTGTCATATTCTGGACAAAAAGTTCGAAATGGAAAATTTTTGAAAAAATCTCAACGGACTTTAACTTGGACGGACATTAACTGAACGGACTTTATTTGAACGGACATTAAGATGAACGCTAGGGCCTCCAGCGTTCAAGTAATGTCCGTCCAAATAAGGTCCGATAAGGTAGTCAAAACTACAGTCAAAAGGCTCATTTTTGGATCATATCTCTATCTCAATTTCAGGGTTTCATCGTCTTTTTAATTTTAAGTTCTTTGCCGTTAACTTTCAGTCAGTGCTGGTAAAACAAGGAAACCTTTAACTTATAATCACAATGATCAGATCAATATGCGGGCAACAATTCGGATCATAAATACATCAGCTCAATAAGGTCCCTGCTTTCGGCCTTCAGCCATTTTAATTTCTCCGAAATTTTAGTCAAAAGTTTCATCGAAACTTGAATACTGGACTGGTCACTGGATTTACATTTCCGCAAGCAACCCTCATCATCTGTTTTGATAATTAGTCGTCATCAGCATCTCACAAACATGAAACTTAACTTTTAAATGTAAAGACATTTAAAAGTTTAAACCATTTCGCAGTTTTCAAGTTTCGACTAATTGTTTAACTGACCAAAGAGCACACATCCGGCTTACGTATAACCATGAATACTTGTGGGAGAGGTTCTGTTTATAAGATCACAGCGGTCACATTGGGAACTGATATTATCTATTATTTAACACACATCTGGTACGGGGGCTAGTCGTGTCAGAATATTCGATATTTAGTGAGAATTACACTCATCACTCCACAACACCTGTCTCTTGATGTGGTAATGGAAGATAATTTATCCGCTAGTTCACTTGATTGCAGAATTATCATGTAAGAATCCACTAAGTGTGTGGTTAGCAGGTAAGTCACTTTATAGTTTACCGGACACAGCTGCTCAGATACTGTCTTACTAGTATTTATACTACACGATACAGGTGTTTCCAAAGTCTTGTAAGGTGTACTTTTTGGATACATTTTTATCCATTTGTCTAAACTTGATTCTGTAAAAAGTTACTGATAGTTCTAAAGTTAATAATGGCGACTTAACTTCTGAGTTTTGAACGTTGCAATAGCCAAAATAGCAACCACAATGTACCTTCATATGTTTCTGATCGACTATAAAAAATGACATATCATTAATCATTGGTATCATCCCTGACCATTTATCAGCTACTGCAGCTGAACGATTTTAAAAGGTAATCAAGTATTAGTGGAACTGGTATATAAAATGTTTCTTGATAGTCAAAGTCTTTACATTTTGGGGCTGTATCTCTATCACATATTGCACTGCCGTGCATTTTATTCAGATCCTTGTTTGTTTGTTAGCCCGGACGGTGCTGGGTGTTTGAATGAGCAATTCTATTTGTAGTATATAACAAAGTTTTAACATAATTATAACAAAAATCCTAAATTTTATTCTTCTGATCACAGCTGGCACTACTTATAGCAACGAGCTATGCCTCCCAATTTCTTCGGTCGGTGAACATCATATTCACCGACCGAATATGTGATTACCCACTGTGTTCTTTAGGACTAAACATCCTCAGCAATATTGAGGGGATCACAGCCTCCAATCTAACAACAGATGGTGCCTCAAGCTTTGTGTACAACAATCACTTGGTAGGCAAACAATCTGACCACGTCCACTATTCGTAGTCCCGTCCTCAACTTATCCGGACAAGTATCATGATCTTTAGCCAGCAAGAGGTGGAATTGTGTGGCTTCCCTCATGTTTGATGTTGGGCATCTTAATTCCCTGAAAGTTGACCTGGAACTTGACATGTCTGATGTCCCACCTCCAGGGTTGGAGCATGATGGTCGTTAGTGTAGTTCCACCACTCGATGTTTGACGCCCGGATCAATGTGCCTTTAAATACTGATTATACTGACCATGAAAATATCTTGACATGGCGAGCAACATTCATCGTATATCAGTAATAATAGTATCGAGTAAAAGTAGACTTTTAGATCAGACAGTAGTTTTGCCATCTGGTACCAGATGTTATCACTGAAGTTTCTTGAAAACCTACGTCAAAAATTCGATTAGTGCGACATCAAACAAGATGGTAGTGTATAATTATAGTGTACTGCCTCTAGAGGCTAAATTTATCGCATCGCACTATCAGATGTGGCGTTCATGGCTTAGTCACTTCATCTCGAACAACACTTTATGAGGTCGTGATCGGTGTAGACTCAAAAGTCCACCTTGTTCTGAATTTTGACCCTGAATTTTACTTACGGCTTGCAGTCAAAACTTTTCTTTGCAACGATTTTTATATATATATCGCTTTAACAAAAATTGTTTGTAATTGTTCGACTCGCTTTTAGAACGGAAAAAAAATATGGCTTCGAATATGGTTCCCAAGGAAGGCCGCAAATTCGAAATTGTGCAGTTATTAAACCTCTTCATAGTTAATGCATCAGAAATATAATTATTCATTGAGATCATTGATTCAGAATCCAAATTAGCTATCAAGTAAGCAACCCAAAGTTGTATCTATAGTTTTAAGATAATTAAATGATTTGAGATGCAGCTGGTAAATTGGTAAACGTTGACTTGTTCAATTCTAATATAAAGTACAGATTAACCTTTATTATATTGGACCATCTGTACAAATAAAAAAAGCATCCGAGCCACCATACTTTTGAATGCCTCAATCAGTTATCTCAAGAACACGTTCAATACGAGAAATCGGCAATAAATGTGTTTTGTAAGCTTACGTTTGCACAAAACACTACGTATTTAACAGCTACGTATTTAACACTAAGTATTTAAACAAATTATACAATATACATACCTTTACATAGTTTTTATCACCATATATCGAGGGATAAAATGTTATCTAAATAACCATTGAAAGATCATTCTTTACTTTTTAGTTTACCTTTTCGCTGAACGGTCGTTAAGTTCCTCAAGGGCCGTTGTATGCTGTACTCGATTTCTTAATGTAAATAAATCATTTTATTCAGGAAGATGAACGTTTAAAATGAGAAGTAATGTTGAAGTTGACGCTGAGCACAGCTCAAGTTGTGCCCCTAGCAACATTCTGTCTGCTGGTAGGAATGATGGGTCTGATCGGAAACGGCCTCGTCGTCTACTCATCTATTCGGTATAACGCGATACAATTAGACCGGATATCCATTGTGCTGGTGAGGAACCTGGCAATGGCGGACATGTTATACACTCTGGTGACGGTGGTGCCTCTTACTATAACTTACTTCGCCAGGAGGTATATTCTTGGTGACATTTACTGCTTCATCAGCGCCCATCTGGCGTTCATCCCCGGTGCTGTAAACTCTCTCACCGTTCTGACCATTACAGCTTATAGACTCAGGGTCATAACATTCCCACTGCATGGAGTTTCGAGGAAGTCTGCTCATCTAGCCATTGTACTTATCTGGATTTTCTCGATGGCCGGAACGGTGATCTCTTTAGGATACAAGTCTAACTTTGTTTTTGTTCCTAGCACCGCTAGATGCCTCACTACTGTTTATGTAAACCAAGCTGCTGCCCCGTTATTTGGAGCTGTGTTCATTTCACAGACTGTGGTACCCATTGTCCTCATCACAGTTTTCAACTTGGTGTTACTCTTGGTAGCTTATCGCCAAAAAAAGAGGCACATGCACAGTACAAACAGGAAAGTCAACTTGAAGGGCTTGATAACCATCTTCTTCTTATCTGGACTCTTCATCTGCAGTCTGACCCCGTTCGTGATATTTACCTATCTCAAAACTAAAGGAATAAAAGTGCCCCCTGCTCTTGACCTTATGGCTTTTCACTTTATATTTCTCAATGTTGGTGGCAACCCAATATTGTACACCATAACCAACAGAAGATTTGGGAAGTACGTTAAAGATCTAGCACGGAGGATTGCATTTTGTGGGATTAAAGTGGAACGGAAATTATAGGAAATTCTACTACCAATACTAAAGGTGTCTTACCATCTGCATGCATAACTGCTGTTAGTGTGATAGACCAGGGAATCACTTTCGAGAACCCTATTACCCAGGACACCGAATTATGATGAACATATTATGATCATTAGTTTCGTTAGTTAGTTATGATTTTGAGAACATGAATAAATAATTGCCGTTAGATAAGTTGACTATTTGACATCACCGTTAGGTTGGTCCTTGGGTTTGGAGGGGGATAACTTAACTCCACCGTATCCATTCCGAGCCTGAACTGCAACATTGGGCAGAAGCGGCGAACTGTCCATCGTCGAGGTCATACTTGTGTTAAATTGTGAGTCACACTGTGAGTCACATTCTCCTGTTCTTGAGTGTATTGTATATGTGATCATGTTTATTATGAGTTTCTCATTGAAATTGGACGCACCCGACTGAGTCCTGCCTTATTGTTTTTGAGTGCTGCCCTATTGTTAGTTGAGCTCGTCATGAGCATAATTGAACTGGAGTATTCAATATTATAACTTTATAACTTAATAACTAAAACTTTACATTAATTTAACATTCTGATACATTGTGTATGAGCGAATATAACGAGCCCAAAATAAAGTGACTCGATTTCAATCTGTTGAGGCATTGCGATCCAGCTTAATAAGTTGTTCATTTGCCAAGATTCATCCTCTTTTGTTTCTTTAATCAAATATCGATAGTATGAAAAGTCGATGCATTATCAATGCAACTTGCTATCTGGTTAGGCTCTAAACTTATAAGTGTAATAAAAATGGAACTGTTCGAGAAAGTTTTACAAGGAAAGTTTTTATTTCGCTTGACACATCTCAAACGCAAGGAAATATTTTCTATTTTATTATAATTATACTCGCCTTACTCGACTTAGGGCGGCTTCAGCGTCCGAACAGAAATAGTCTTCTTCCAAATCTGTCTATCCAGCATGAGTTTGTTAATCTCTTTGCTGTCGTCAAGCCCCGTGTCCTTCCGAAGGATGTCAATGTATGTGAGATGTGGTCTTCCCCTTCGACGATGTCCTTGAAGGGGTTCCCAGAAGAGAAGTTGATGACTCAATAGTTCTTCATGTCTGGCTAAATGACCTGCGATCGAGTCTCATCCTCCGTGCAGATATCTTATCAGATGCTCTGATGAGGTGTCCATACACCTTGGCGTTAGTCTGCCGCTCTTTCCAGTCAATGTTCAGTGCCATCCTCAGCATTCTCGTATAACATCCATCAATACGTTTTGCGAGGGTCTGGCTGACAGTCCATGTTTCAGAGCCATATAGAAGGATTGACTCGACTGTAGCCAGGAACAGTCGTATCTTGAGATCTCTACGCATATCCGACTTCCATACAAGCTTCATCTGGTGACACGCTCCCCATGCCTTAGCTTTCCTCACTTCGAAGTCCTTCTCCGAACTCTTCATTCTACTACCCAAATAAACGAAGTCATCGACTTTCTCAATGTTCTTCCCACTCCCAGCAACTAGAGTCGGGTTATCATCATCTCTTATGTTGATTCCCATGTATCAAGAATCAATATTTCCCACAGTCAGACAACGAATGAGTTTAAAAATTCCAACAAAATCTTTATAACATCATTGGTAAAACATTTTCGGACATCTTCAGTACCTAATAAAGATAAGGGTTAATACTCCAATTATATCAGAAAATTATAATTAGAACTAAAGGATGTTAGCTGTAAAAAGAAGCCAAACTCTCAAAAATGGAATGGGAAGCACTCGGGTATGGGGGGTTGTGAGGCCCCAACTAGTCGGAAAAAAAATATACTAGTCCCTGCATTAAGGGTGAAATAATTTAAGGACCATTATCAAAAGTTTTATTTTCAAATAAAAGTGGCATACCAAAAGGATCACATGAATTAATACCATAAGGTTTCAAAGTTCTGAGTTTTTGTATAAGTAGATGTTCGTTAACTTCTAAATTGCTAGGACTAGAATTCTTTAGGATAAAAACATTATAAGAAGCATCAAAATCAGGTCTATTGGATAGGTTATGTGAGTCTATAAGGTGAGCTGCTAAACTATAAGTGTCACTATCATCAGATAAAAAATCATCACTAAGTTTTAAGGAAGGGTCTTTCAATAAATTATAATAGTTAGCTCTATGTTCGGTTACTCTTTCATGCAAAGTCCTAATGGTACGTCCAACATAGCAGAAAGGAGATGGACATAATTTACAAATGAATATATAGACTATGTTATAGCCAGAACAGGTCCCTGGAGTTTGTCTTATCTTGACTCCATTAATACAATAACACTTTTCACTTCCTATCATTGCACAACACTTACAATTTCTTTGATGACAAGGTTCTGTTTTTGTTATAGTGTTAACAAAACATATTGAGACATTATTCCGTAAACAAAAGCAAGGAATGCGGATGGTTATGCCAGGATATGTAAATTACTTTTACAAAGACGGCAAATTGCCAGCTCACACCAGAGAAGGATTCTGCAAATTTGAGATTTTGACAATACACGGCATCATCGTAAAGAATGCGCTTACATTAATGCACCGCATGAAGCACTTTCCTAACACAGTACCTGTATCAATTAGAAATTTGTTTCCAGATAACATACCCACGCATGGTTCAAATCATGAGAACAGTAGCGAATGGCTAGATACGTACAATAACCGATGTTTCAAAGCATCCATTTTTTTAAAGGACCTTTACTAGCTCTAACAGACACCAACAAGAACATCACGTCCCTACCTAGCTTATTTTCAATAAATATTTACAAATCGAACGCAAAACGCGTGCTTCTTGAGCAACAGTCAACACTAGCTAACTCAGAGGACAGCTGGCCAGCATTTCTGCTACACAACGTACCTGGTTTGAGGAAGTCCAATAGATGAGGGATGATTGAGTAATACAGCGACCAATAATCGCTAAATCATGACATCATATCATAACATAACATAACATAGGACGACAGCAAACACACAATAAACGAGCAGTAATAAACAACGTTCGCTTAATGGACTGACATATTTCAGCATATTTTTCACTGCCAAAGCGCTGATAACAGCAAGCCTTACCCCACTCCGCGCGGCTTTTTAATGCACAAAATCTTAAAGATAATTCTCGCGATAAAATTTTCATCGTCACGCTTGAAAATTTCTAGAAATTAGAATAGCCGTATATTATAACAAACTATAGCAAGCAGAATTAAAAGATAAAAGGTTCTGGGACTTAAGTGGTACAAATAAAATGAAAGGCATGCTGATGCTAATCATGCTTACGTACTGTAATGTGTCGAGAGTTTTTTTTTTTAATTTTTACTATTTGACAAAATAATTGATCTTTTTAGTGTGAGTGTGATTTCAACTTTGAGTTTGAAAATATTTTGAAACGACTTTCGATATTATTGATTATTATATTATATTTAATAAACTGTCTCAAAGCCCTTAGAGGTGGCTCTATACGGGTCTTTACAACAAATGTTATTCTCTGCGTGCAATTAATTGTGGGTTGAGGAGTCTCCTCCGCAAAGATGCGCCCGATCTTTTAACATAACTGAATAGTCTTTTCCCATGTACTTAGTTTTCCCCTCGTTGAGGTGGAGTCCAACTGAGTTGGCCGCCAGTTCCATGCAGACTCCTGAGGAAATCTTGTGCCTCCGCAACACTATCTGTTATAAGAGCAAGGTCGTCAGCAAAGTCCGCATCAGTGACCTTGACTGCCGGATAGCGATGGCTTCTTCTAGGGTGTAGAGTAAACCCAAAGTCCCTACCCTCTAGGGACACCCTCATAATGTAGTCAATTACGATTATGAATAGGTAGGGCGCCAAAGTGTCTCCCTGCATCACTCCTGCTAGAATGAAGAATGCTTCACTCAGACCATCCTCGGTAATCACACGAGCAAATTTATCTGCATACATTCTTTGTATCAAGCCTACAATCTCCTTGGGAATTCCATATGCCAGGAGGATCTTCATGAGGAGTCCACGGTGCACGCTGTCGAATGCCTTCTTGAAATCAATGAAGAGCATTACCGCGGTCAGATCTTTATCCCGGGCTCCTTCAAATACCCTTCTTAGGCCAAGAATATGACTAGTTGTTGACCTACTCTCTCTGCACTGAATCCGTAATAATTATAAAATTTTCCAAATATTTGAAAGTCAATCCAATTATTGTACTGTTAAACATAAACTACCCCAGGTTACTGATTTAAATCAATATTTAAATCAGTACCTCATAATAGTAGAACAGCTATTAAGAGGACTCTAAAAAAGCAGTGCAATTAGTTTTGTAATCGCACCGAATACGATTTCGGTTGCTCTCAAAACAGCGCAATTAGTTTTGTAATCGCACTCCCTGAAAAAAAAAGCCGGTGCGATTATGAAAAAATAAGTAGCCATCAAATAGGTTAAAACGTGGAGTTATAATAATAATGAACTTTCTGTATATGTTTTTCCTGATTTCAAAAAGTAACTCTACTTTCCGGTGTTTTCATTGTTACGTCATGAAAAACGTGTGACCCTAACCTTTCGATCCCATCTAATCGTATTTACAGCGACGACTCAAAAAACCAATTCTGGGGACTATTTCAAGATTCTGAGACGGCTAAATGATGTAAATTATAAGTCCTGAGCTTTCACTCTACCTCAAATACACTTTCCAAATCCAAAACTGACTCAAAAAACCAATTATGGGCACTATTTCAAGATTATAACAATACCAAATATAATTATGGTACTAAGAACACGCGCAGCAAGCACACGTGTTGTCTTTTAACTTTATTTCTGTACTTTAGTGCTCTTACTGACGCTAACTTAAATACACCGAGCTACTCTTTAGTATTACTACAGGAGTAGCTAATAGTAATAGTCCTGATAGTCCTAATATGTCCTAATAGTAATAGTCCTTACCAGCTGATTGACATTGCTATACATTTCTTCAAACATGAACAACAATTATTTTTAAGTTTTCACGTCGAAATATATTTTCAAAGCAGCTGATATTAGCTCGATTTCAAAAACGCACTGAGGATTCAGAACTTGCACTACATTAAATTTGTCGGGGCAACTTGGGCTGCAGATTTTATTTTAACTTAGTTCTTATTTTCAACAGCTACGATAATTGAATGGGAGAAAATTTAGGCGAACAAAGTGATCTTCTCCAAAAAACGAAAGATACTTGGACAATGGACAAGAACGGATTGTATGCTCCATTTTTTGGGCTGCTTATCAATATCGGGGATGGCATCGAAATATATTTACTTGGACAAGAAAGGAGTGGATGTTCCTTTTCTTTGGACTGCTTATCAATATCGGGGATGGCATTGAAATATATTTAGCAGGTATTTATTGGAATTTGAGCTTTGAAATACCTGGATTGACATTAAGGCATACCAGTAATGTAATGAGTTGGATAACCAGTAAAACACCACAACTCGGATGAAATCTTCGTAGTTCTTCTATAAGTTCTATAAAAAGTACATGCGTAAGTATGTCAGCAGTTTTAAATTTATTGAGTTGTTGTTTGCAAAACTAAACCATATAATAGTATTTTGTGAACATAAAGCTACCCATTTTTCAGGTGTTTTGACAAAATACGTGGCCTGTGAATTCTGGGCTGCATTCTTTATTTAACAATGGGAACAACTGCCTTTGTTGCAGGTCTCCCATTTACTCGGTAAGAACTTCAGGGCGATTTTAATAGTTAAATACTGAACTGTGAATATACCTGAGAGTGCACTGCCACTGACGGTCCTCCATGCATCTTACCACGGTCGGGGTACCTGGACTGTGCTATGCTAGTCAACACCCTGGTTTGGTGATTGGTTTTCGCAATTTATGGGGTAATAGCTCAATAAATGTGAGCTACGTGGCATAATATAAGTCAAATAAGTGGGTAATGTTACATTCCCTCGAATAAAGTGGTTAAACTTTAGATTCCCTAAAATTATCCTAATTGCAGTTCTGTGGTGGGGAACTACCTGACTCTCCAACTCTCACGGGCCCTCATTGGATTTTCTGTGGGATTTAACGGGCTGAACAGGTACTTACTATTAAAGTAAACAAATTTACCTCACCTCCCCACGAGTATCCACATCTATTGGATGAAACAAAAAGAATCATACATACATAATACATATTGGGTAGTTCATTGTCGCACCAACTAAATTGTTAAAGATACGATATAAATACAAACAAATAATCCAATATTCTATGTGGTCAATTCACCTCGTGGCAATTAAAATTATTACTATGTATTCTTTACCTCTGACACCTCGATGGTTACCATGTTGAACAGCTCCCTTATATTTGTTGTGGATCCGCAAATAATTAAAATATTTTATCCACCCATCACTGTTGACGTCGAATAGAGGAACACCTTCCATTTAATTGTATCATAATTTCCATTCCTGCTTATCGGCTGAAACGTTTGCTTTCACTTTTTACTTTACTTTTGATGATTATCTGAATTAAGACACCAATTAGCGAGGGGTATAGAAATGCTGACGGGTTTAGGCAGGGAAAATTAGTATGCGACTGATATAAACAGTTGGTGAAGTTGAACAGAGCTCAGTTCACCGAAGTACTGATATCAAGGAAATTAGTAAAGTTTTTAAAATTATAATAAAATTGATTTGAAACAAAAATGTTTGACAAAATTTACGTTACGTTAATGCTGACGTCAGCAAGGCTCAGACCCCTTCCCCCCCTCCCACAAAATTTTGGAATTCGGCCGCCAAATTTTTTTGGAGGCCTAAATCAAAAATCGGCTTTCTACAATAAGGTGGAAATGCGATTTAGAGTCGATTCCGAAAATTTCCTGCAAAACTTTTGAAAACTGATTGAGTTATTTCCAAATTAATGAAATCAATTCCGCGAATATTTCGAACGAAGATACGGGCAATTTCGTTCATTTTTTGGGGTATTTTCGCCTTAGTATCCACATTTAAACAGATATAAAGCTATAACTCACAGAGGATATGCAGTTTAAAACTACCTTTAATATAAGGTAAGTCTCATTCAAAAATATTGATATTTGACCAATTTATGGGACAAATTCTACCAAATTTGATGCGCATGTTAACGTCCTTAAAATAATTAATCATTACATGTTCCGATAGGAACATTTTTCTTTTTGAAAATATTGTGCGAACTGCAATAGCGTAGAGTGCAGTTGGGTTTCAAGTTTTGTCGAGATGGCTATGTGGCCATAATCCTATTATTATTATTATTATTATGCCCAAATATGGGCATATAGTTTTTGGCTCATAACTCAGTCATTTTTTGTCCAATCTTGATGAAATTTCATATACGATTACAAGATACCACTAGCTACAAGTAAAGCACCTTAAGCCTGGGTTTTGGGCATGTTCAGGGTATTTGGCTAAATTGGGCCTAATTTGGACCAAATATGGGCGTGGCTGCCCCGCGGGCACCGTTTGGCGGTTGGGGTCCGGGACCCCCTCAAAAGTTTGGTCACTGGTCCTAGTCTGTTGGTCAACTACTATTTCGAAATCAAGTTTCACAAAAAAATACCCATTGCCCCCCCCCCCCCCCCCCCCCCCCTTAAATTTGTCGGGGCAACTTGGGCTGCAGCTTTTATTTTAACTTAGTTCTCATTTTCAACAGCTACTCAGAGGCACATATTAGGTGCGATGGGTGCGGGATCGCACAATTTACCGTTTTCCGCACATTTCCGCATAATTTATTGTTTTCCGCACATTTCCGAACATTTTGTAATTTTCTGCATATTTCCGCATAATCTAGCATTTTCCGCGTAATTTCGCATAATTTTGAAATTTTCGCGTTAAGATTTTCAAGTGTAAAAACCAAAATATTTTAAAAGTCGGGCTCTTTTAGGACCGTGACTCAGGCCCTTTCAGGACCCTGACCCAGGCCCTTTCGGGACCCTGACCCAGGCCCTTTCGGGACCCTGACCCAGGCCCTTTCGGGACCGTGACCCAGGCCCTTTTGGAACTCATGCCTAGGCCACGTGACCCGGTTACCACGTGACCCAGGCCTTTTCGGGACCGTGACCCAGGCCCTTTCGGGACCGTTACCCAGGCCCTTTCGGGACCGTGACCCAGGCCCTTTCGGGACCGTGACCCAGGCCCTTTCGGGACCGTGACCCAGGCCGTTATGGAACCCTCGTCGTTACCGTACTTCGATTATAGTGTATCAGTTATCATTCGTAACTTCACCACATCATCTGCTTACTCTATATCACATCACAACGTCATGGACCGTTTCCTAAAGAAACGAACAGCTACACACAGTGACCGGCTGCACGACGGCCAGGCCCCCCTCATTATTCGGGAGATCAGATCATGACACCAATTAGTGACGTATGATTAGTGATGTGATCCATCAGTAGAATTTAATTGACCTAGAAATGGGCTAGATACAGAGTAGAGTTCACATGTCGACTCTGTTCACATAATATTATTAGTTAAATTGTGTTAATACTTTACCATACTACACGTAATAAAACAAATAAACCCTGTTTACAATGAGATAACATCACATGATCGAATCACGTGTTTTGATAACAAAGCTAGAGACTAAGGGGTATGGAGCACACTGCTTTTCATGTGTTTTATAGACTGACCATTAGTTCTTTTACACAGATTGTACTACTAGTCTTAACTATAATTATAAAGATTATCTTTTGTGGGGACCGAGGGCTCGTCGTCCGAGTATAAAGCTGACACTCCTGATCACTACGTTCATAGAAATATTTCCTTTACCCTCATGAGATGTTGTCTGTATATATTGTCTTAACAATTGATCAATGTTCTCATTGTTCCAAATCTCATGATTCAATTTCACTTAACAAATTAACTCCTAACTAACCTTATGCCTAACTTACCTTATGCCTAACACGCATTACACATTATTTTATTTCCTCATCTTTGCCTTTGTTGATTGTTCATCTTCTCGCACAATTCCTTAAGTGGGTGAGTCATCGTCATGTGAATGTTTGCATAATGATCATTATGATCCAACGTAGGGGGCCTGGTCGTCGGCCTCTCCAGTGACCCATCATCAAGCTCACCACACAAGAAACAGAAGATACCTGCATGGGATCTGATCGACTCTATCAAGAGGCGACTTCAAATAACTGTCTCCTGATCTCTACCAGATCAAGTCACTGTTCTCAGATAACTGAATCTCAATATTAGGTTCAATCATGGTCTTAGTAAAGAACTACACCTTCAGTAACACATAAACAGACCTATTTTTGATAAGAGCGGCGGTTATACGTTTAGAATTTCTAAAGTCCTTGAGAAAATGCAAAAGAAAACCGCACAATTCCCGCACAAATTTCGCCGCACATTTGCCGCATAATTGGTAAAAATTTACCGCACCTTACCGCACATTTAACCTTTATAGTCGGGTGTGGTACCGCATAATTTCGATTTTTTTACCGCACCTAATATGTGCCTCTGCAGCTACTATAATGGGAGAAAATTTAGGCGAACAAAGTGATCTCCTCCTAAAGACGAAAGATACTTGGACAAAAACGGATTGGATGCTTCTTCTCTTTGGGCTGCTTATCAATATCGGGGATGGCATTGAAATATACTTACCAGGTATTTATGGGAATTTGAGCTTTGAATTAACTGGATTGAAATTAAGGCATACCAGTAATCACTAATCAGTATGTGAACATATTAAAGCTACCCATTTTCAGGTGTTTTGACACAATACGTGGCCTGTGAAATTGGAGTAGATGATTTGCAGGAAGGAATTCTGGGCTGCATTCTTTATTTAACAATGGCAATAACTACCTTTGTGTCAGGTCCATTATCTACTCGGTAAGAACTTCATATCAGGGCGATTGTAATAGTTAAATACTAAACTGTGAATATACCTGAGAGTACACTGCCACTGGCAGTCCTCCATGCATCTTACCACGGTCGGGGTACCTGGACCGTTCTAATTTCTATGCTAGTCAACACCATTGTTAATGGTTTGGTGATTGGTTTCCTTTTTGGTTTTCGAGAACTTCCCCGGCCGGCTGACGGGTTTTTAACTCGCAGACTATGGGGTCTATGGAGGACGATCCCTGTTTGCTACACTCCTCATCAGCTTCGCCACCTTTAACATACGTGGCCTCGGTTCTTGTGATGATCCAGACGACATCCACAGCAAACGGGAGCAACTGGGTACCGATTGTCTACGGTACGGCATAGATATCTGCGCTATTCAGGAGACTAAGGTTGTAAAACCGGATTCTTGCAGTCTTAGCAACGGATACAAACTATTATTGTTTGAGCAGAAAAATGGCCGGCACTATGGACTCGGTTTTGTTATCAGTCCCCGATTTATTGACTATGTGGTATGCTGGAACAGTATCAGTGATCGAGTAAGCTTTTTGGACCTAGAACTCCCTACAAAATCTGGAAAATTTATCAAATGTAGGGTGGTCAATGTATATGGGCCACACAAGAAACTTGCAGATAATGATCAACAACTGTTGATTAATTTTTACGGCCAAGTTAGGGATGCTCTAAACGTCCCTGCTAATGTTGAGATATTTGTTTTGGGGGATTTTAATTCAAAGTTGGGAAAAATGACTGCTTCAGATAAGGACTTTGGTTTTGGTCGTTTCATGGGTAAACATGGTATGGGTTTGCGCAACGATATGGGAGAAAACTTGTTAGACTTGTTATCAGAATTTGACCTCTTTGCCTCCAACACTGGTTTTTATCATCCTGCTCGACATACGACCACCTACACTGGCTGGAGGAAGGACTGGAGTGCCGGGCGAAATAGTAAAAAGACGATCCCGGTCTATTCTCAGATCGATTTCATCCTGTGTCGAAGTAGGTCGAAGCCAATGCTACAAGATTCTAGATCTTATGCAGTCACTTTGACATACTCTGATCAGTGATCACAGATTTGTTGTCACTAGAGTAGACTTTAAGGATTTCTGTCTTTGCTATAAACGCCACTCCAAGTCATCCTTAAAGTTCAACACCTCTGAACTCACCTCGAACCCCACCATTCAGGTGAGATATCGTCAATCCTTAGATGATAACTTAAGTAACACTGTTTCTGCTCTGGATCCAAATTCAGACTTGAATGGCTTACTTGAGTCCATAAAGGATGCTGCAAAATCGTCAATTGGTGTCATCAGACACAGGAAACGTAATCGCAGCGACGATGATGAGGTGAAAAACTTATCTAGCCAGCGTTACTTGTTGAGACAGCAGCTTAATGATAACCAGTCTTTAGACAGAACCTCACTTAGGTCATCTATTAACTGCCTCACCAATCAGATCAAGCAGAGACTTTCTAACATACGATCAGCTGCTGCTGATGCTATCTGTAATACCATCAGTTCAACAACAGATAGTAAGAAAATGTTTGAAGCTGTTCGAACCCTGAACTTACCTAAAAGTAAAGCCCCTTCTAGTATTGGTGTTCATGATGAGCAAGGGTGCAATATTGCAACAGACACTGGTAAAGCTGCCGTAGTTGCTAAGTACCTTGAGCAACAACTTACTCGTGATGAAGCACCTTTAGAACCTTTTGTAGGACCTCCTCGCCCACTAGTTAAGCCATTCACTAGTGAAGAAATCGGATCAGCTGCTAGAAGTCTCAAAAATGGTCGAGCTAACGGCCCAGATGGGATTCCTAATGAGCTTCTCAAGTATTCTACTGGATCAGTACACAGACGTTTTGCAGACATTATCAATAGAAGCTTCGAGACCAATTCCTACCTTGACCCCATTGGACAGGCAAACATTACCCCCTTACAGAAGCCAAATAAGCCCATTGGTCCAGTGAAGAATCTACGACCCCTCACTCTCTCAAGATTCTTACAATGGCAACCTTGAAGAGAATTGAGAATAAAGTCAATGCCTTCACTGGTCCATGGCAATGTGCTTACAAGCAGGGTAGATCATGTGCTGACATTGTATGGTGCCAGCGTGTGATGTTATCAGTTGTCCAGAGGAAGAGGTGGGAATACCATCGTATGGGGATCGACATGTCTAGTGCCTTTGACACTATACGACGATCTACCATCCTCGATCTTCTTGTTGAGTGTGGCTGTGATGATGACGAAGTCCGTTTGGTAAGACTTTTGCTTTCCAACACCAAGCTCAAAGTCAACATCAACGGTACACTGTCTGCTGAATTCCAGAGTTTTCTCGGTGCATTCCAAGGTGACTGTCTGTCTGGATGCTTGTTCGCACTTGTCTTAGCGGGTGCCTTGCGTGACCTCCGTAACAGGCTTGAAACTGCAACGAATAGGCCTAACCCACCTATCACCGATATTGGTCTTCCACTTGACAGTGAGTATGCTGATGATATCGACTTCAATGATGAAGATGAAGACAATTTGAGGGAGCTGTTGCCTATTGCAACAGAAGTCCTTAAAGATTGGAATCTCTTCGTTAACGAAGACAAAACTGATTTCACTCATGTGTACTTAGCTGAAAAGGGAGCTAAAGACGATCAGGGTAAGCCAATTGCAGGGAACGAGCTCTGGAGAAAGAGTATCACGCTTGGCTCCATGCTTTGTAGCAAGGAGGACATCTCTAGAAGGATATGTCTGGGATATGCCGCGTTGAACAAATACAAGAAAGCTTGGAACCATAAGATCCCTCTGAGCAAGAGGCTTCTGTTGTATGAGGCTCTGGTAGTATCCGTTTTAATGTACAATTCATCTTGCTGGGCTGCCCCTAAATCAGTATTGGAAAAACTAGATATTGCTCACAGACGTCATCTGCGATCAATTTTGAATTACAAATACCCTCACATCATCTCCAACAAGAACTTGTATAAACGCTGCAATAGCGAACCATTGTCAGCTTAAGTGGCTCGTAGTCGGTGGAGGATGCTCGGACATGTACTGCGTGGGCCTACAGATGGCCCAGCCTATTCGTCGCTTGTTTTTGCTGTCAACACCTTACAGCTTCAAGGGCGGCGTGGAAGACCGCAGTCAAACCTTTTCTCACTGATTCTACACGACCTTAGTGTCCGAAAATTATCGTTAAATAATTTATGTGATTTGAACTATTTAACGTTAATTGCTCAGAATAGAGTTAAATGGAGAAGTATGCAGATTGCATGACTTTTGTTTGAGAAAGATTAGGGGACAGAAATGTTTACTTTGTTTACTATCTGTTTCTTAGAGCTTTTGTTTATATAGACTATGGGGTAATAGCTGGTGTATTAACTAACTGAGCTAGGCGGCATAATATAAGTCAAATATTGATAAGTGGGTGATGTTACATTCCCTCAAATAAATTGGTTTAACTTTATTAGGTTAGATTTTCTAAAATTATCCTACTCGCAGATTCGGACGACGAGAAACTATCCTCCTGTCCCTCTACGGAAGTGTATTGAGCACCATCGCCTGTTCTGTGGTGGGGAACTACCTGACTCTCCTACTCTCACGGGCCCTCATTGGCTTTTCTGTGGGATTTAACCTGTCTGTCAGCTACGTTTTGCAGGCGGAGCTAGCTAGCAGTAAAAAGGTTCTGGACACTCTACTTCTGGCAAGCAGTTTAGGCTACTCAGTAGGCAGTATCTGGGTTCCAGTTATCGGGTATTTCATTCTAGATCTGCTCGGCTGGAGAACATTCCTGCTTATCGCCTCTCTTCCTATTTTCATTCCTCCAATCTTGATCCTACATATTTTCATAGCAAAGAAAACGAATCTGGAAGTGAGCAACCAAACAGAACAAAGTGGAAATGGGGGAACGGAAGCCGTGGAGGTACCTAATTTCAAACTGAGACTTTTAAAACTGTCCCTGTTTTCCATCATCAACAACTACCAAGGCTGGGGGACTATTCTACTCTTACCTTCATTGATACGACTTTTCAACGTTAAAAAAGTAGGAGGAGAAGACACCAACTGCGAAACAATCACCCAAGGAACTGAATTCTTTCTCCTAGCATTGGTCGCAGGAGCAGCAGGAATAGGAAGGATTGCCTCCCCGATCATCAGAACGAAGATTAGATTTAGAATGTTGTACACCTCGCTTGCGGTGATTGTTCTAGTCAGCTACATGATGTTGCTGCTCATGGAAGAAAACCTAATCGTTATCGTGGTCATGTCATTTGTAGGCAAATTGGTATACGGGATGATCTCAATGGAAAAGACTTACATAAGCTACGACGTTCGATATTTAGGAACAAAGGGATTGGCTATTGGATCGGGCATAATGCAAGGTGCAAGTTCGATGGCAGTGGTAGCCGGCACCGCTTTGGTTTCTTTTGCTTCACCGCAAATAGCTATTATCACTGGCTTGGTGCTGAGTGTTTTTCAGATCTTTGTAGTCAATTCTATGGGAGAGCAAGACCAGGTTACCAAACCGGAAACATTGGACACCCAATCTGATTCTAAAGACAGCCTGTTGACAAAATGAATTATGTAAGACAACAGAATTTCATGCATGATTCAAGTATTCTTCAACATAATCCTGTACCTGGCAACATTGAGAGAATCGAGCTATAGACTAGAAAGTAGAAAGGTAGGTAAATGGGACTCGGATGTCCAACAAAGAACACCTTTGATCAAAAATCGCTTCTGGCATTCGTTTCAAGCTGTGGCCGATTTTCTCGGTAACAATTCGGAATTAAACGACACAGGTTACACTTTAGACATGAGAACTACGATATGAAATTGAATGCTGCTAAAGCTTCAAAGTGTTAATAATGGTTTATTTATGGTTTTCAAGTAACATTACATACAGGGTGTACCACATAAAGTGTGACTTTTTTGAGAAATGATACTAAATATTATAAAAACTCTTCATCACATTGTGTCTTGTATCACGTCGTGGCCTCCAAATTGTCGTTTCACTAATATCGATACAGTCGTGCGCGGCAGGTCTACAACTTATCCAATCGAATAAGTTTTAAGGCAGTTGGAGAATATGCGAGTTGTGTCTCGGCTCTCATGAGCTGTTCTGGGAATCGACTTCTCGTTCAAAATACAGGGATCTAAGCTTACAAAGTAATTAGTGTCAAAGAGTTGAGATAAATGGGATTTTTTCGTTAATTCTGCCAAAATTCCCGGACGTCCGGATTTTCAGAAACCACCCCCCTCCCCCTGTCCGGATTTGTCCGAAATTCCAAAACCACCCCCTCCCTATTTGCCCGTGCCGGACGTCCTAAGTAGATGGCCCCTAAATCACACCTCGAACTTAACATATATTATATAATCCATTAAGAATTTAAACATATCTATAAGATCACTACATGTAAAAGACCACATTAATCTTGTTAACTCTCGACCATCTTGCCTGAAACTGGCCGTTGATTTTGATAAAATCAAGCTTCTTTTACTTAAAACATAATTTAATCAAAGATGATAACTTCTCAATAAGTTTATCATGGGGAAGGTTGGTGTAAAGTTTCTTATAATCAAACGACTACACTGACTTAGCTGAGCAGGCATTATTAAGATAATTTAGGTTAGATGTCACTCTGTCTTTATTGCTAACAATCCAATAACCAGAAGCGTCTAAGAACTTAAAATTAAAATTATCTTGGTATTTTAAAGTAGTACCAAGTAGCCTGGAGGGTCTTAAGTACCAAGCAGTTTAAAAATAAATACCCCTGTCAGAATCTTAGCAAGAAATTTTGTGGAATATTTAACCCCAGCTACAATGTACCTGAAATCCAAGGTCGCTTTATGGAATTTCGGTAACATATGCATAAATGGTACATAAAGATCATTTACCGGAATCTTAAACTTCTGGCAAAATTGCACATGCTTTCTTACAATATCTTCTTCAGAACCTGTGGAAACTTGATAATTACTGGCGGAAGAAAGTTCGCAATAAATTAATATTATCTAAATGATATTTCTCACAGACAAAAGAAACTTTATTACTCGCTTTGTCTACGCTAGTCATAATAAAATGTTCTTTTAGGACATTATAAGGTCCTCAGACTCCGAAGAAATAACAGTCTGATTCAGCTTACAATATATTTTGTAAGAAGAAATCTTAGATTTTATATCTAGAACTATGGCTCGCCAACCATCAAATAATTTAGTGCTGGCACTGTACTTAGTTGCCAGAATTTTAATCTATGTAAGTCAGATTTAACACTCCCAAAAATAGCAAACTTATTTCTGTAAACTGGTTTGACATAAGTGTAACATTTCTTGAATAATTTTCTAAGTTTTTTATTGTTAACAATATCAACGTCCCCAGTGATAAGATGTCCGACACTCGGGTTGATGAATTCACTGTAAAGACTACAAAAACAATTAACATTAGAGATAGGCTCATTATTGAAAACATGTTCCTTATAATTCGTAACATCAGCACGGATTGACTTAGAAACGCCATATACGATATAATTCATCGCGGTGGAATTCAATTGACGTTTATAAAAAAAACGCTCGCGTAATTGTCTGTCTCACATCTCAGCCATGACACGCGTCGCCATATGTTTATAAGTAATACGCCTGGGCCAGGGTCACCAGATTGAGATAAATCAGGGGTAGATCTTCATTCAAGGTTTATAATTCCTTTGCGTTTGAACACTGTCCATAATTTGTCTCAGTATTCCGCTTAAATATACATTATCATTGCATGAAATCACCTTCTCTAATGTCACAGTCAATGATAATGATATTTATCTGTTTACATTTTGCAAGGGTTGGAGTTCTGGTCAGGGTTTATGTAAAACTGTTTTGTTTGGCTGCGACCCAGGAAACCTTACTGCCTGGCGGGCTTGCTATAGTCATAGAGGTGATAATTCTTCAAAAGCTGCATGTTTGTCGTCGCGCGTGACGTAAAGCTCGCTGCATTGTACGCTTTTTACAATCTAAATTCAGCCATGCAGTCATGACAACCACATTACTTTGCAAAGTTATAAAGCTGCGACCTTTTATTCGGCCCAAAATCATACTTTTTCGGAATAACTCTACAACGTCCCTAATTTCCCCCCTGGGCCGGGGGGAAACATTATTTTTACAAGGCGAACATTTTGCAAAAAAACGGAATTCCCTATCTCTTTTACTTTCGAAAATAGGCCCCAACCAGTAAGGTTAATGATAAATTAACAACTCATATAGCCATATTGCATCAATAATAATTAATAGCGGCTCAGTGACACATACAAGTAAAAGGCACTTAGGCGCCACGAACCCATGCATTAGATTTAATCATTTTGCCCACAACTCACCAACGTTGCCCACATATAATACTTTAAGCCTTTTAGTTCAAATATTGAAGTTGAACATCAGCTTTGATTTAAATTTATATGGTTCTACGGAACTATATTGATTAAATCTTATTATCTTACTATATATAAAGCGAGACGATTTAAACTTTTCGCGACAATCCTATTGGACCGTTTGCTAAAATTCAGGAAGGAACATTGCCCGGACACAGTAAACCAGCTTGGCTTCTGTAAGAATGCTAGAACTGTGGATCATCTGTTCACCCTTTCCACTTGTGTAGACAAATACGTGAATAACAAAGGACAAAGACTCTATTCTTGTTTCGTGGATTTTCGCAAAGCTTTCGACTCCATCAGTCGTGAAGCTCTTCTGTACAAGCTCTCAACCCTTGGTATAGATGGAAAATTCCTAAAATGTCTAGAACATATGTACAAGAATTCCAAAGCTAAGATCAAGCTGATCGCTAAAATATCAGACTCATTTGATATTCTTGCAGGTACGGAGCAGGGCCACCCAATGAGCCCCGAACTATTCAAAACTTACATCCACGAACTTTCGGAACGACTGAACAGTGTTCAAGACATCTCAAGTCCATTGCTGAATGAAACTATTCTGACCCACCTCTTGTGGGCAGATGATCTTGTCCTCCTCGCACTTTCGAAAGAAAGTCTTCAGGTCATGATCTCTGAACTTGAGTCATTCTGCAGAGAATGGGGGCTCACGGTGAACACCAAGAAAACCGCCATCATGATTTTTAATAAAAGTGGAAGGCAACTCAAAGAGAGTTACGGTTTTCAGTACATGGGAGCAACAATCCCATCAGCAAAAACATATTGCTATTTAGGGATCACCTTCTCACTGTCGGGCAGCTTTAAGACAGCACTAAACCTTCTGCGACAAAAAGCTCTCCGGGCATACTTTGGACTGAAAAGTGAAGTCGACCTCAACAATATATCCAAGGTCGCAGTTCTTAAACTGCTCGACTCCCTCATACTGCCAGTTGTATCGTACGGAGTGGAAGTCTGGATCAGCAGTAGCTCAGGAATTAAGGCTTTTGCCAGCACAACTGACAATACGAAGCAATCCCCACTGGCAGGCATTGCAGCTGACCCATTCGAAAGAATGCACCTCGCCATCCTTAAATGGACCCTTGGAGTTGGCAAATCGACATCTAACGCAGCTGTTTGGGGAGACTGCGGAAGAACCCCTATTGTAGTTCGATATGTTAAACAAGTCACCGATTTCCATAATCGCCTTGCAAGACTTGAACTAGAAGACTCACCAGCTCTAGCCAGGCACGCTTTTGCTGAGCAGAAGAAACTTGATTTAGGTTGGTTCAGAGCACTGGAATCAATGCTAACGATACTCGACGAGAACAAGCTTGAACATCAACTATACAACCCATTGTTATGTCAGGAAAGGGCACATAACCGATTTATCAATCTATGGGAAACAGAAAGACAAAGCAATAAGAAGCTTACGTTCTATAATAAAGTTAAAGGTGCTTTCGAGCAGGAGCCGTACCTCACGCTACCGTCGAGAACTGGAAGCAACTTAGTGGCTAGGATCCGAATGAGCGGACATAAGCTAAACGTAGAAACTGGAAGATATGGGAGCAGAACTGGAAGTCAACATCACAGAATTTGTGAATTCTGCAGCGAAAAGTCAATGATGGAGCTCTTTGTTAATCTTCCTTGTGTTGATCCGATAATAGAAGATGAAGAACACTTCCTTAGAACATGTCCCAGGTACCATTCCAGTAGGACTAACATGAAGGAGCCCACAAAGTCATTACTATTTCATGACATGAAGAGCCTCTTTCTACCGGAGCACATAGTGGAATTCACCAAGTTCGTCGCTCAGCTATGCAGAACACGATTCCCTATAAAGAAGAAACACGAACATTAGTGTCTCAGTACGGGATATCACATTTCCTCCACAGCCCCTTCATTTTCACTTTTTCTTTACACTCATCAAACATCTTAATGGTAACGGATTTTCTATTTGGATTTCGGGCTTTGACCTTTAGCTATGCTGATCTGACATTATCTCACTGTAATATAGATCTATTTTTTGTAAACCTTGTAAACCTTGTAAACCTGTATATGTATGTATATATCCTTGCCATTTTACTGACACCACGTCATCAACATTAACGCGACTTTCCGCAAAAACCGTAAAAAATATACAACTGAAACTTTTTTGACTGGGTCAAATGCTTTAATGGCCTTCAAATCAGCATGAAAAAATAAAAAATTGGCCAAGGAATAATAATTTTAGTGCCCAAAATTTGGACTCCCAAGTGGTGTCAAAAACGCGAATTAAATAGGTAATAATTATTTTAGTCTCTCGAGTCTTGACACCACTTTAGGGTTAGACGGGTTCCTGCTAGTATATATAAAGCGAGACGGTGTATATTGATATAGGTATATCCGTACCATTTTACTGACACCACGCACGGCATCAACTTTTACACGAAGTTCTGCAAAAACCGTAAAAGATATACAAGTACAACTTAAACTTGTATATCCGGAGAGCGGAAGTGAA